TGTACTGCCCATGTAACTCTCTATGTCTTTCTCATCCTCAATGCTGCCATATTAGGTACCAGCAACTTTTAATTACTGAAATGTGAGTGCTGTCTTCTGTTAATGTGTTGAACCTTGATCAGTCAAGCACATATCAAAGGGATTTGACTTTTCAATCTTGAGTATATGGATATTCTAAAAAAATGGAAGCCTTCTGAGTTACTATGGTAGTATGAAAGTTAAAACAGTGTATTATAAAAAGTCTAAACTTTTCTGTTTCCTCTGAGGAATTTAACATACTTTACTTCTCATACCTCGCCAATAGTGTAATTCAACTGTCTTGCTCGTACAATCATCTCCATTTGGAAGACATAACCCTTTGAAACACATTTTTCAATTAATTTCTGTAGAACTTCTTTGCGGTATAATCTGTTAAAAAAAAAAAAAAAGAAGAAGAAAATTGTATATGAACACCAGAATAAATAAAATTGCCTACATATCTTAATTGTTTAAAATGTTCATTGGTATTTGCAGAGCCTAAAACTTTCACTAACAATTTGTATATACAAAGTTCTCATAATTGATGAATGAGACATCTGTCATAAAATATTTGGTAAATAATTTTGAAAATGAATTTTCAGTTATCTTTACAGAATTAAGGAACCCTGGTGATAAAGCAGTTAAAAAGCTCAGGGGCTAAATAAAAGGTCTGCAGTTCAAACCCACTAGCTGCTCCGGGAGAGAAAACGATGTGGCAGTCTGCTTCTGTAAAGATTACAGCCTTGGAAACCTTACTTTGTCCTGTAGGGTCTCTATGAGTTGCAACTGACTCGATGAAAGTATCATTTTTTTTGGTTTTAGAGGATTCTCTTCCTATCATCCTATCAGAGTTCTGGTAGAACAGTGCCTAAGGCATCGGACTGCTAACCAGAAGGTTGGTGATCCAAATCCACTAGCCACTCCGCAAAAGCAAGACTTCTGTAGAGGTTTACTGCCTTGGAAACCCAATGGGGGTCGCTATGAGTCAGAACAGCCTTGACAGCAGTGGGTTTCGTTTTGGTTTATCATCCTATCAGTCATTATTAAAATATGGTAAAGTGAATCATTTGAAGCAGAACCTCCCATTACAGGTAGTCCTATCAGTCATTATTAAAATATGGTAAAGTGAATCATTTGAAGCAGAACCTCCCATTACAGGTAGTCCCCAGTTTACGAGTGTCAAGGATAACTCTTCCAAATCAAACTCACTGTCAAGTAAATTCCAACACTTAGTGACCCCCACTGGGATTCCAAGGCTATAAATCTTTATGGAAGGAGACTGCTCCATCTTTCCTCCATGGAATGGCTGGTGGGTTCAAATCACCAACCTTTTGGTTAGCAGCCAAATGCCTTCACCACTGCACCGTCAGAGCTCCTTAAGATAACTCTTATTGGCCCTTTAATGCAGGACTTCCAATTGGTTCTGTCATGACCGAAAAAATGAAACAGGAACAGACCTGAATTTTTACAATTTGGGTAATCTGTCATAGTAACCAGAATGAGAAAAATTACGGGCCAAAGCCCTGAGCACTGGAACAGGAAACTCAGAAGAGGCATCATAGCAATCCCTTTCAGAAGCCTGATGTGTGAGAATGGATTACTGGCAAACTGTGGAAAGCCACACATATTCAGGGCACACATATTCAAAGCCACCATCTTTGAGCAGGGCACTGCCATCTTTGAGCAAGACAGAGTTGTTTCGGAAACCCTCCTTTAATATTATGTAAAATTGCCCTCAATTTGAAATGAGTGAACCAACTCCTAGTGGAAACAAATTCTTCATCACAATCTTCTTCACTTGCTGCACATGGAGCTTTTAAATCACTGAAGAGCCTTTGAGACTTCTCTTCCACTAAAGTAAAGAAGGCCAAGTCAGAACCATATGCTCCTGTTCCATATGACCCACAAATTCTTAAAGATAGTTAGTAACGGACACTGTTCGTAACCTAGGGACTGCCTGTATTTTTAGTTCCTAATTTTCATGCAATTCACTTTTACAGTTCAAAGAGGAGAAAATGTCCCAAAATTCTGGAAAAGTAGAGTTGACAGAAGTTAATAAAGTGATACGATAAACTAGGTAAGAAAGTATACCCAGTAATTAACAAGATGTCCCTCATAAATAAATGGCTATGGCCTACTTCCCAAGCTCTGTGTAAATAAATTCCCCGAGATAAACTGAGTCCCTTTAGGATAAACTTGGGTTACCAGTTAGATTAAGACAGGAACTAGCCTCCACAATGAATTTCAGCTAGAACCAGTTAGAGGTTTATAAAGGTGAATGCACAGCCTATACACCAAACACAGAGCCCCCAGATTTACAACCTAAGACAGAGGATCTGGGATGTCTAAAGCCTTTGGGCAACCCAATGACTTCTCCAGCCATTCTTTGAATGGGAGTTCCCACTTACCAGTCATCCAGGTGAGAAAAGACTAGAGTCCCAGGAGGTAGAGGGAGCAATTTCTACCTCCTCATTTTTAGAGGAACAAGGAGGCAGTTTGGCATGACTGTCCTTTTCAGTTAAGGCCACCTACATATACAAGGCCAAAGGATTTTACCTGGAACCCTGATTTTTCCCCTCATGCTTCCTCTAAGGCTACCTTTTGGCCTTAAAAGCTCTTCAGTGGGTATGCGACACCAGACAGCATGGCCCTGGGAAGAACCTGAGAAGCTGGTGTGTGCACATGTTCCAGAAGCATTCAAAAGTGTAAGTATGGAATATGTCTGAAGTGAGGAGAATCTGATGGTGGTACTATTTATTCAAAAACATATTTATCGAGTGACCTACTATACTTTCAAGGACCTTTTCATGCTTCTGGGTTTTAGCAGTGAACTACAAACTAAACAGATATATGGTGTAGTGCCTAAGGCATTTGACTGGGAACCAGAAGGCTGGCGGTTCAAACCCACCAGCCACTCCCTGTAAGTTAGGTTGGGCAATCTATTTCTGTGGAGATACTGTCTTGGAAACCCAAGGAGGGGTTGCTATGAGTCGGATCTGACTACACAGCAGTGAGTTTGGTTTTTGGTTTAATATGTCAGGGGGTGTTAAGTGGGGAAAGGAGGATGGGCTCATGGGGTGGGGAAGACTATCTGGTGACAGTATGTTTTATAGCACAATCTTTATGGGATTGGCTAGGAGTTCTTTCCCTTTAAGAGTATTTCTCTTAACAATAACTTCCTAAGACATGTGTCCTCACTGCCCCTTCCCTGGCCACAATACCTTTAAGATGATGGCTAATGAAGCAAAATTATATACATGAAGCCATATGACCCAATAAACAGGATCCAGGTGGTTTCTGCTATTAAATGGCTTTAGGGTGGACTATAGTATTTTTCAGATTCCTTTTCTTATTTAAGCAGCTCTAGTGGTGCAGTGGCTAAAGCATTCAGCTGCTAACTAAAAGACTGGGAGTTTGGACCCACCAGCCATTCTGTGGGAGAAAGATGGATGAGGTGGTCTGTTTCCGTAAAGATTTACGCCTTGAAAACCCTAAGGGACAGTTCTATAGGGTCCTCATCTATAGGGTCACTATGAGTTAGAATTGGCTTGATGGCAGTTGATCTGTTTTTCTTGTTTTATAAAAGGCACATGCCTTCTAATGACAAGTTTACTTTGATGCATGTATTAAACAAATAATGATAAACACGTTTTAAATAAATCACTACTTGTTTGAAGAGATAAATTGTCAAGTATTTCTTGAAGTCACATTTCTAGGGGGTTGACTTTTCTGTCACTTGTGCAGAGCACACCTGCACCATGGCTCCCCTCCATGGAGTCTAGAACTCCCAGGTAGTCCTCAGCTTTCTCCCTCCCCTGCCCTCGTCCCCTCAGGGTTGTTCCTCTCCTTGCATGTTTTTCTTCATGGCATAATCCACACATGACACTGCATGTGTTTGACATAAATGTGGGTCTCGCCCCATGAGAATGTGTAGACCCCGTGAAAAGGGGAGTTTTTACTCTGCTGGCACACAGAAGATAATCCCAAATATGGCTAGCATGCAGAGGCTTCTCCAGGTGAGTGGTCCTTGATGACAGGAGCGAGGCAGAGAAGCAATGCCCCATTCTACAAGCCAGGACGATCACACAGGGACCTGAGAGAGCCACACCAGCCAGGCCCTCTCTCCAGAGTCTGGAAGTGCCCCTATGCTTTGCATTGCTGGTATGCGGCAGTTAAGAGACCTTCATTAGATAATGCCTTATGCCTTTGCCTTGAAGTGAGGAACTGAAGGATGGATTTATAGTGCCCCTATCTATCTTTTTGAAGGAGCCCTGGTGGTGCAGCGATTAGAGTGCTCGGTAGCAAACTGAAAGGTTAGCAGTTCAAACCCACCAGCTGCTCTGTGGGATAAAGATGTAGCAGTCTGCTTCCGTAAAGATTACAGCCTTGGAAACCCTATGGGACAGTTCTGCTCTGTCTATATAGTCACTCTGAGTTGGAAACGACTCGATGGCAATGAGTTCTCTCCTTTGGAGTCCCTGGTGGTACAAATAATTAATGTACTCAGCTGCCAACTGAAAGGCTGGAGGTTCGAATTCACCCAAAGGTGCCTCAGGAGAAAAACTTGACTACAGTTTACTTGCAAAAAACAGCTACTGAAAACCCTGTGGTGCATGGGGTCGCCATGAGTTGGAACAGACTCAAGGACAACCGGGTTGGCTTCTGGTTTATCTGTATTTTATGCCCCAACTTCTGCTTTCTAATGGATTTCATTTAGTTCCAGAGGGTTCATTTTCACTTTCATCAGACCTCTAATTTGTGAGGGCTTCTCCCTTTCCTTTGGAACCTCTGTCTCACCGTTTGAACAGCTGACCAACACACATGCACTTGCAGGGGTCCTTGTCACCTTCAACAGCCAGCACCTATTTATCTTTGTGTTGTTGTTGACTGGGACACTTAAAGACCTAGATTTTCCTGTATTTATTGAAGGACCTACAAATCAACATTTAATGGAAATAAAAGACCAGGCGATACCAATGATTAACTAATGCATGGGGTTTGGCCCTTAGAATAGAAGAACAGACATTTTATGTGTTCAGATAAAAAATCTGGCACTTTAATTACGTGGCAGGGTCATACAACGCAGTTCAGCTACTGCAGCAAGTTATAAAACAGACAACCACCAAAAAACCCCAAACAAACATGAAAAACACGAGGGACCTAGAACAGCAGAAAGCAGATTTGGTCTGATTAAACAAGGAATATATTTTAATTTTTTTGGACATAAGGAGAACAAATAACTAAGAAAAACCTATATATAATATTGAAGATTTTTAAACTTTTCTGTACACAATGCTGCACTTATATAAACTGCAGAAGATCACTGGACTGTGTGCAGTACTCTGGAGCACACTGGCAGTAACAGCTCTGTTCTGAGAGAGCAGTGAGCGGCGACCTTGGACGCTGATGGTCTTCCTGACCGTCTTTCCACAGGCTGAGTATTGACACTAATGGCAACAAGCACACTAGCTTAAGCCCTGGCATTGATACTCTTTAAAAAGTTCCTATTTCTTTCCTGAAGAAGGTACTTAGGATTCATTATCAGCTTCCAAGGAACTGCAGTCTGCTTTTTCAACGTTTCAGGAAAAAAAGGGATAAAAATACAAACTATTTCTTTGAAATAAGCCAGTACGAAGCAAGAAATTTAGGCAAGAAGTTTTAAGGGGAGACAGTACACAATTCAGAGTTTTCACTGTACCTGAAACTTCCAGTTAAATCAGATGCTCCTGGTCTCAGCAGAATTTGTGTTATAAAATTGGCTCCACGGCTGCCAAGAAAAACCACCAAATCTTTATGAACTACTGTTTATTCTAGAGAATGTATCCCAGATAACAGCACTAAAAATGCCTTACTAAATTCACAAAAATGTTAATCCACTTGAAGAAAGAAAAACTTTTTGTCAGTGAAAGATTTGATATTTTTTTTTTTTAAAGAGAACAGGGATTTTTCTTCTTTGAAAAATGAAATTTAGAAGAGACTCAGAATGAACTATCTTTCCAAACTTAAAGAACTAAGACTTTTAAATAAGCTGATAATATTTACCAACAGTTATCATTTAGAAATATGAACATCTGTCGGCAAGAGAGCAGAGACTTGGCAATGAGCTTCCTTTGTGGATTCTAATGAGCACAAAGGGACTGCGTTTTCACGAAGGTGATAAGTCAATCTGCATAAAAATGGCATAAATGGGAGATGGTTTTGGCAATCCCTGGAAAGTGACCTCAGGCTCATTCTAGGACTTCAGTACTATATCAATCAATTACAAGGTATTAGTGACTAACGGCCAATAGTAAGATTTCGAAAGATGTCAAACTGCCTGGAGAAAGTGACTTTTGTACTGCAGCCGTCCTGGTGTCCTCAGAGCTTTCAGGGGCAGCCTGGAGACAGAAGTCTCTTTCCAAAGCCAAGGAAACCACCAAGGTACTCCGTAGGAAAGATTATACAAATAAGCACCAATTTAGGCAAATGCCACCGAGTGCCCGGGCAACACACAAGTAAGTGTGTGATGCTAACTGGAAACCTGGTGGTTTGAGTCGCTCAAAGGCACCTCAGGAGAAGAACCCGGTGATCCACTTTTGAAGACACTGAATACCTACAGAGCACAGCTCCGCTCTGCCATACGTGGAGCTGCCGTGAGTTGGAGTGCACGTGCCAGCCAGTGCTTTCAGGACAACATCGTCGGGACAGTGCGGCCTCAAAAACAGCCCCCCTCCCAGTTTGCTTCTAATAACTACAAAAAAATTCCAGGACACAGTTCACCCTACAAATAGGTTCAATCAAAGGCATATGTGTGTATGTGTGTACTTGTATAGCTATTCCAGGTTTTAAATCAAAGTCTTTTCGTTAAAATGCAACAAGGAAATTGGAGCAGGTTCTATGTGTGTATTTTTATTCCTATGTGATTCCAATGTTTAACTGGGTTGAAAACCACTGTCTCAATCCAACTTCTTCGCTTCATTTTCAAAAAAGTTACTGAGGCTTTCAAATGCTTTAAATGACTTTTAAAACATTTAAAAGTTCTATACCTGGTTAAGAGACAGAACTAAGACTAACGCAATGAAATCTCCAACAGGATTGAAGTGGGTGATAAAAAATATCAGCATATTACCAAGGATTTCTATAAATGTTATCTATTATTATATAATAAGAAAGAAGCTATTTAGACCCTTCAAGAGGCCAATACTGCAGTGGTTAAGCACTTGGCTGCTAACCAAAAAGCTGGAGGTTCAAATCCACTCAGCAGCTCTGTGGGAGAAAAGACCTGGTAATCTGCTTTTGTGAAGATTTACAGCCTTGGAAACTAATTGGGCAGCTACTTGGTCTTATAGGGTTGCCATGAGTTGGAATAGACTCAATGGCGGTGGGTATATGGATTCTTTGTAGATAAATGCTCATCTCATCTTCCCAACTCTGAAAGGTTGATAAGCTCTGATCAAAAATCCCTGTCAGGTCTACCCATCAAGTTGTTAGCATTGTTAGGTGCTGTCAAGTAGGCTCCAACTCAGTGACCCTGTGTACAACAGGACAAAACACTGCCCAGTCCTACGCCAGCCTCACCATCCTTGCAATGCCTAAGCCCATAGCTGTAGCCACTGTATCAGTCTATCTCATTCAGAGCCGTCCCCTTTTTTCACTGACCCTCCACTTTACCAAGCATGATATCCTCCTCCGACGAGGGTTCCCTTCTGACAATCTGACCAAAATAGCTGGCCATTCTCGCTTCCAAGGTGCATTCCAGCTGCACTTCTTCCATGACAGACTGGTTTGTTCTTCTGGCAGTCCTTGGTACTTTCGGCACTCTTGGCCAATACCACAACTCAAAAGCATCAACTCTTCTTCAGTCTTCTTTATTCACTGTCCAGCTTTCACATGCATGTAAGGCTAATGAAAACACCATAGCTTGGATTAGGTGCACCTAAGTCTTCAAAGAGACATCTTTGCTCTTCAGCACTTTAAGCAGGTCATTTGCAGTAGATTTGCCCAGTGCAATATAGCATCTGATTTCTTGACTGCTGCTTCCATTGGCGTTGATTGTGAAGAAAGTAGTATGAAATTTTTTACTTCAATCTTCTTTCCGTTTATTGTGATGCTACTTATTGGTTCAGTTGTGAGGATTTTCGTTCTCTTTATATTGAGGTTGCAGTGTAGTAAATTACTTAGTGTGGCTTTTCTACCCATTAGTCTTTGTAAACTCCAAGGTGGGATTTTCTATGAGCAACTGAGGAGCTCCTGATTTCTGAAGCTATCCACCTGGGTTATTTCTGTTGGGCGTGGCACAATACAATGTTCTGGGAGGCTCCCACTCTCTCTCACGTGCTTAGAGTTCTGATGCTGTGATGGGCTAGTTTGACCACCCTTCCGGGCTCAAAAGGAGGCCTCCTGGAGGCAGAACTCTCTCTGACTGCTGATTGAGGAAGACGTGCTGCTGAGAGAGACAAGGGCTCCTGAGACACGCGTTGCTGGGAAAGAGAAGCAAGAGACACACATTGCTGAGTAAGACACCGAGGGACCAGCACTACTGGGAAAGAGACTGTGAGAGACTGTTGGCTGAGGGATGGTGGGCTAGGCGAGAGACTGAGCATTTTTCCTGATCGAATTGTAGCCTGTGGTGATTCCCTAATAAACCCCATAATTTGTGAGCTCTGTGTGGCCACTGCAGCGAATTATTGAACCCAGGAGAGAGGTGGTGGGTGCTTTGGGAGGAACGGTTGGAGAAAGGGCTGGAGGGAAGCAGCATGTCTGGCCTTGTAGGAATAGGCCTTGGGTTACTGCTGGTAATCCTGTCTTCCTGTTGTGGGATTAGAGGAGGTCAGAACACGAGGCCTCCTTACCGTTTTAGCAGAGGTGTAATCCATACTGCAGACTGTAGTCCTTAATCTTCATCAGTATGTGCTTCGAGTCATCTTCATTTTCAGCAAGCAAGGTTATATCATCTGCATATTGCAGGTTGTTAATGACTCTTTCTCCAATCCTGATGCCACATTCTTCTTCATACAGAGCCCACCAAAAGGTGGGTTCTATTTCCCTCCCTTTTGATTATGGGTTTGCTTTGACCAAAATCGATGCTGTGCAAACCCCAGAGCCTGGGCCTCAAAAACGAGTCCCTAAAGCTTTCTGACTTTGTACCCTTGGATGCTGCCTCAAAATCGGCTCACAAAAAAGCCAGTCTAGCTTTCTAGTTGATGAGAAGCCAAATGCAGAACTGAGATGCCCTGGGCCAATAGCCAGCGCCAACTGCTGGACTGTGGGTAAGGTGCTGCCAGCACAGGCAACCTTCTTGCTGAAGGAAGCAGCATGAATGAATCAGGTGAAAACCAGCAGAGGAAGCAGCAGTCCACAGCAGCATGAGAAACAAAAAATCAATGTTGTCTGATACCGTTAGCTTTGGTGTGGCCTGTTTTGCAGAAATAGTAGGTTTTAGTTCCATATTATAATGACAAAAGGGAAGCTTAGAGAAGGCAATATATGCAAGATGACACAGATAATAAGAGACAAAACTAGGATATGAGCCCGGGTCGTCTGAGTCCAAAGCCCCACTACGTTATGGGGCTTAGTAGTAGTTAAAATCCTGAAGTGTCTTATTTACTTAAAATTATGAAACATAGATATGGGGGAAAAGAAGTTATATTCTCTAAAAATATAAATAGCTCACTTAATAAAATACTCCAGCCAAAGGAAAGCTTGTAGGTAAGAAGCTCTTTAGGAATATTTTACCAGAAGTTAATCTGGTCTCACAAATCCCAAGGCAGCATGACTGTAATGGTAACGACTAGTTACACAGAGAGATAAAAAAATTAGAGAACAAGGATATACCTGATTATTTTTCTTTTCAAATCCCAGCCATACACACCTCCATTCCCTCTGTATCGAGTTCCAGAGACAATGTCAAAATTACCCTCCTTTTGTTTCCTGTAGGAAAAATTAGCTGTCAGAAAAAGCGACTGAGCCTTCAATCTCATTATTTTCATAGACAACACAGGCAAAACTTTTAAGATTACTATAGAAAAATCACAAAGCCAAGTGTAGAACAAAATCCAAAATCATAAAAAAGACCAGACTTACTAGTCTCACAGAGACTGGTGGAACCCTCACGGCTGTGGCCCTCAGAGACCCTTCAAACTTAGAAGTGAACACCACCCTGTGGATCACCTTTCAGCTAAACAACAGGCCTATAAAGTGAATAGGAACCCCATGAGGAATGTGCTTCTCAGAACCATCAACTATACAGGTCAAAGGACAGCATGTGTCCAAAAACAGAGTTCAGAAAGGAGAAAGGAGCAGGAAAGACGGGCGAATGGAAACAGGGAACCCACAGAAGAAGTGGGAAGAGTGCTGTTACACTGAAGGGATTGCAACCAATGTCATGAAACAAAATGTGTACAAACCGTTGCATGGAAAACTCATTTGCTCTGTAAACTTTCACCCAAACCACATTAAAATATGGAAGGAAAATAAAATAAAATAAAAATAATGATGCTAAGAAGTTAGATAACTCCACTATTTAAAAACATTTTATCAAAGCAAGGTTTTTAAACATCTAATTAAGAATGATTTTTCAACCTGTAAAACAGTAACATTTGCTGACTATACCACATGAAACCATCCAAAAATGTATTAATGAAACTATGAACTTCTTCCCTTCCCCAGGGCCACACTCTGTTCCTATACTCCGCTGCTAACAACAGCCTCATCCTGCCAGACCTCTTTGCTTAGAGAAAGATAATTCAAAGACATACACTCATATGGTTTTTGGTTGCTTTTAGAAAACTGGAATCCAAAAAAGTACATTTTGCAACTTAATTTCTTGTTATTAGTACACATCACGGACATGTCTACAAGTCAACAGAGATCTTTTCCATTCCCTTTAAGCTGCAAACAGTCCATAAACTATTCAACCCCCTTACCCCCTGGTTATTTCTTGGGGAAGTGAACAGTCAGTGCAATCGGCATTGTTACATGCCATGTATCCTGGTGCTCCGGCCCCACAAGACAGGACATAATGGGACTGCTAAAACAAAGCCTATGAGTATTTTTAATTCTAACGATACTACCAGACATTACTTTCCCAAAAGAGGATCACAATCCACACTGCCAGCAATGAGTGTGCTCATTTTCCACCATCTGCATTGCCGTGGATGTTACTGCTCTGCAAGTTTGAATTTTGACAAACTAATGGGTAATAAAACAGTTAACAGACAGATACTTTAATTTTCATTTCCCTGCCTACACCCCAGGTTGAATATCTTATGTTCACTAGCTGTTGGGATTTCTTCTGCATAGCCTGTTTGTACATTTTATACATTTTCTACTCCACTTGCTCCATTTCCTTATCAGGTTAAAGGGGTTTTTGTATATTAGAGATGTAAGTCTTTTGTATTGTGGACTGCAAGTACTTTTCTAAGTGAATCTTTAAAACTTTGATTATGGTAAGAATGTGGTGGTCAGGGTAGACCTCTCTGAGGTGACTTTATGCAGAGATCAAAGATAAGAAACAGCCAGTAAGCAGCAGAAAAAGAGCCTTTCAGGCAAAGGGGACAGAAAGCTCTGCGTGAGCAGTGAACAAGAAACCACAGGAGAGGGGACACAAGATGGGCTCAGACAGGGGCAAAGGGGCTGGACCACACAGGGCCTTAAAGGACACTGAAAGAAGTCTCCATTTTTCCCGTGTGTTAGGGAAACTCAGCTTTGTTCTGACGTGAGCTGATTTGGGTCTTGTATGTTAAGCTTACATTAGAACAACTTCCAAACTTCTCTTCTGAGAGGCGTTTTGTGGTCTTTGGGATTCCTAAGAATTTATCACCTCGTGGTGAACTGAGTTCCTTTCTGTAGTCCTTTGCCTTGGTTCTCTGGAAAAGTTTGAGGGATTATTCCCCTCAACCCTGAGGAGTTACCTTTGCCCTAGATTTCTACCCTAGTGGGTTTCTTACTTTAGTTCAGGGTTGACTGACATTTCCTGGGTAAACTTTAAACAACTTGTGGTTTGATACATTTTGGCTGGGCCTGTGATTGGTATGCACCTTGCAGGGACTGGTCAACAGACTGCAAATAAAGTGACTATAGCCTACTATGCAAATGAAGCATTTATGGCTTACCCAGAAAGGGTCAGCATATGGCCCCCTGCTGGGGGGGCCTTCATGCTTTGAAATGGATAAGGAGTTACAAACATACATGCCAACCTCGCAGAGGTTTCTGAGATAGAAGCAAGAGAAGCAGCGGGAAGGGAGAGAAAAAGGGAAAGAGAAAGGGCGAGGCAGAGAGCCAGGGGGAGAAGGACAGAAAGAAGCATGGGACCTCCTAAAAGATCTGTGACATGGGTCAAGGGCTGTACCAGTCAAGACAGTGAGAGGTCCAAAAGAGGCCCAGTAACAAAGCTGGTGGCGACAGCCCTGGAAGGAGCCCTATGGCAGTCAGTGGTAACAGAGAGAGGGCCAAGAAGAACTTGACCTGCCGAGAGGATCTGGGAGCTGTCCTGCACTAAAAAAGGGACACTTTGCCTACATTCTTCCTGATCTTGAGGATCTTGTCTGTTGCTTCCTTAATAAACCACTTAACTACAAGTAGGGTCTGTGAGTTGTGTGTGGCCATGGCAACAGATTATCAAACCTAGAAGAGAAGTAGTAGGAGGGGAGTACAGGCTGGTGTCAGAATTGGTAAGGGGTTGGAGTGGAGGATGTCTGATCTCCAACTCACAGGAATTAGTTTGGGGATGATCTTGAATCTTACTTCATCCTGATTCTCATTATCCCCTGAAGTTAGGCTCTGACACTCCTCCTCCTCCACCATTTTACACTTTACAAATAAATACAATTTGGTGTCCTTTACTAGATCTTGTCTTACAGCAGGGAGCTCTGGTTAAAGTACTCAGCTGCTAACCAAAGAGTTAACAGTCAGAACCCACTAGCCGCTCCGCAGAGAAAGATGAGGCAGTCTGCTTCCGTGAAGAATGACAGCCTTGGAAACCCTATGGGGCAGATCAACTCTGTCCTATAGGATTGCTAGGGGTCGGAATCAACTCGACAGCAACGGTTTGTCTTCCTGCATTCCTTAAAATCTCAGGGTGAACAACCGCTGGCATTTCTGTCTTGATGAATTTACTGGAAATGCTTCAGCATTTCACCATTTACTAAGATGTCTGTGTTAGGACTGGGCCATTTATCATGTTTAAGTGCTTCTATTTCTATACTTTTTTTTTTATTAGAAATGGTTATTGAATTTTATCAAATACACTTTAGCATCTATAGTACTCATCATGCTGCTTTCTTGGTGAAGGTGATAAATGAACTATGTTGACAGATTCTTGAGGATACACCATTCTGGCATTCCTTGAATAACTTAGGTGTTTTATGCTTATGATTCAGGGATTAATTCCATTTGACAGAGGGGTCTTACGTTTTTGTCTGTGGTCTGGAATTCTTTAGATAAAATGGAATTATCTGTTGATTTGTCTCTTAGGCCTCCTCAACAACATTTAGTCACTCACATCTCTACATACATGAACTTCAGATCTATATACTTGGTTATATTTTTGATAGAAAATGTATAACAGCACTTTTCATAAATAACAAAATGCAAATAAATCCAAACCAACAGAAGCTAAATGGCTCGGATCATAATTTCTTCAAATATTAGAAGTAATACCTACCTAATGAATTCAGGAATAAATTTTGGCTGAAATTTAGAAAGAATAAACAATCAGTCAGTAAAATAAGCTAAAACTATCATAAATAGCTAATAAAGAAAGAAACCACCTACATGGTGTGAGAGATCAGCATCCATAATAATTATGTAGTTTCCTGTTGCATGTTTCATCCCATGAATATATGCAGTTCCTAAAAATGAAAGTATTTATACCCATTAAAAGAAAGTCACCAGAAATGTTTAAGTACACACTAATATAGGACAGAAATTGTTAAGCACCTGAAAGCCAGTGCTCTAAAGGTGATACTAATGAAAGGGCAACTATTTGTCTGAAGTAGATAGATCACATCCATTACACATGGAGCCAGGGTAGCTAGCCTCCCACCCCCCAATTCAGATGCTGATTTAAGAGAACAGATTATATCCCAGCTTTCAGTTTAGCAAGGAAATAATCCAAAAATTATGTTCTCACGGTTTAAAACCCAAACTTATGTTGGAGTTCTCCAAGTGTTTACTTATAAACCAATCTCCCTCCCTCTCTCTTTTAATTTTACTTTGTTGGGAATATACACAGCAAAACATACACCAATTCAATCATTCCAGCATATATAATTCGGTGACTTGTTTACATTCTTTGGGTGGTACAACTATTCCCACCCTCCTTTTCTGAGTTATTCCTCCCCCTTAGCATAAACTCACTGCTCCCTCAGGCTCTGATCTAATCTTTTGAGTTGCTTTTGTTACTCTGAGCACATATAGTTAGGCCAGCCTCTTTCTAGAGCTCCACATAGTACACAGCTCCACTTGGATATTCAGAAATCTTAAATACAGCATCTTCTAAAATCAACTCCCTGTTCTTCACCCTAACCAGGGTACCTCTGAGGAAATGGTACCACGAACTATCTGATCCCTTCATCTACAAGTCTGGAGGGGATCCTTGACTTCCTGCCTGCAGGGTAGTACATTACTTTGTGTGGCTTTTCTACCCATAAGTCTTTGTAAACTCCAAGGTGGGATTTGCTATGAGCAACTGAAGAGCTCCTGATTGCTGAAGGTGTCCACCTGGAGTATTTCTGTTGGGTGTGGCACAATACAATGTTCTGGGAGGTGCCCACTCTCTCTCAGGTGCTTAGA